TTCCTTTTTTATCCCTTGCCCCTTGCATAGTTTTTGCAAAAGGAAGACAATACAATTTGGGTTTATGGTCATGACTGTAGAGGTGATCTGCAGGCTATAATCCTTATGGCATAACTGGATCTTAACCTTAACCATTAGGTTAGCAATGTATCACTTCCATAAATCATATCTAGAGGTTTAGGCTTAAGACAGGTAAGCTGGATCAAAGAAATTTGTACTTTGCATATATTCTCATGCATGTAATGATTCTTTATAATTTAATAAATATATGATATCAGTCTGATTGCGAGTTAAATAAAAAAAGATACAATTCTGAGTAATAGTTTAAATATTCTAGTAGTTTATTTATAGAAAAATTTTCTCAGCAGTGTGAAGATTATTTAAACCAAATAAATATAGTTGTTTAGTATTATATAAAGTATTATTTACATGTTTGAGTAGCCAATTACACAAGAATATGGCTTTATTTATATTTTAATAACAGATACATTTTTTTTTATAATTATTTTTTATTATTTTTTGAAAATTAACTAATAATTATATATCTGTATTAATTCAAAATTTTATATGAAACTGTTTGTAATTTATATATAATTGAAGTGATAAAAATAAATGAAGAAAAACCTCTTAGTTTTGATTAAATAGAAAAAAATATCAAGATATTAAAAGAAAAACTTAAAAAAAATTCTATAGTTTTACCAGTATTTGTTTTTCAGTATAAATAATATATTTATTTAAAATCAACTTGAAAAGATTCTTTAACTAACCAAATAATTAGCAATATTTAGATTTGATACAAAATTTATTTATATAATTAAGAGACTCTTTTATAATTATTTTTTTTAGCCAAGCTGTCACATTAGAAAAAAAGTTAATAAGAGTCATATTCCAATTTATTATTTTATAAAAAACCAGTGCAGCAAATAGTATCTTTATCTATTCCATATATTATACTGTATAAGAAAAATATAATGAATTTGTAAAAAACTTTATTGAGATTAAAAAAACAGTTTACTATAAAAACTTATATATAATAGAATATGAAAGGAATTGAATGATAGCTTATAAATGTTGCATCAAGAATTTTGAATATTCTAAATGATGCATGTAATAATCTAACCTTTAGTTTTGAGTTATAGAATCACAAAGTGAAGCCACTTATATAAATAATATAATATTATCTACTATATAAGCTACCTTAAAGTGTTTTTCTTTAGAAAAATTGATTTTTGTCAATAATTTTGAATGTCAAAGTAATGCTAGTACAAATAAAAAGGGTAACCAATGATTGGAGTATAATCAGATATTATATTTGTAATGAAATATAATAGAAAAAATTATAAACTTTTATATACTGAATATTTATATCTGACTTGTACAATATAAAAAAAAAGACAATAAATAAAGTTGTAATGTGAGACTAATAATAGTATATATTGGATTTATAAAAGTTGTAATAATAAGGATAAATTTAATATTATTGGAGTATAGGTAATAAAAAAGAAAACATATTTAAATATTTTTATTAGAAATATAAGTAAGATACATTATTATTATTACTTTTATAAATTAGAAATATCAATTTAATAATTAGCTTCTTTTTTTGTTATAAAATTTATAGAGACTTTGCTAATATTATAAAATATTCTTATTGTTAATATAACCTTGCTTCATAATACATCCTTATCTAAATTAATTAGATTTATTAGAGATAGTTCAACAATATCATTTCCATTCTATGATAATTAGATTTGAATTCTTTGAATTTTTTTATTATTTATAGTATATTTATTTTGTGTATTTTTCATATATTAATAAAATTAACCCTGGTAATTATATAAACATATAAATATATAAATATATTATATTAATAATCAAACAAGTGTTTTGATATTTGTGTGATTAGATATTATTTTCATATAATAAAAATTTTAATTGTATAATTTGAATTATTAATTCATCTGATTAATTTTTCTTCTATAAAAAACTGCAAAATATAAAGTATAACAAATTAAATTATACAATATATATATTAATATTTTAACTATTATATATTATCAATTTATATATTTCAGTTATTATAATTTATAAAACAAAACTTAAGAATAATCATTATTTTTCAAGACAAGTCTAGAATTTGTCTGTTTTATTTTTGTATATAAAAAAGTTTTATTTTATATTTTTTATTTTTAAGAATAAGTTATTAAACTATAATTGTTTTTCAATAAGGATATAAAAATCTGATATGCTTTTTAAAAATTTTGAGCCATTCATAAAATGAGAAATAATTGGCATATATTTTTTTTATCCTTTCTTTTTTTAAATTAATATAATTTATATAATATTTAATTATTTATATATCAATTATTATTTTTTTTCTTAATATAAAACATAAGCAGAAACTTGTGTACTTAAAAAAAAACAAAGCTGCAATTATATTTAGTTATATTAAATTCTAAGAACTTCAATTTCAATGATTTTAAATCTATTTATATATCACAACTATTTATATTGTTTATCTCAAAGTCTATATTTGTCGAAAAACTTTTGAAAGATAGATTTTGAAAGTATATTATCAAAACAAATTCAATATATTTAATTTTTAATAATAATAAAGAATTTTTGATACCCGTACAATATTTAAACTTGTTGGAGTTTGAGATTTTTTATATTGAAGATTATTTAGATCTATAGTGTATTACATAACCCCTCCTTTTTTTTTGAAAAGAGCAAATAGCTATTACTTTATTATGTTTATTATACTTTCACTTGCAAAACAAAGTATAATATCAATGACATAGCATACATATATCTTTGCTAAGAAGAGTTTAATACAAGGCTTCAAAATGAACCCAACTCCTATATTCTTTTAGTACTGTTTAAGAAATACAGAAAAAAAGAAATTCAAAAATCAATATTATTGCCTTGAATAGTGTCTAGCTACTTAGAAATACATAAGTACCTAATTACATAAAGGTGCTGTAGTCAATCTATACAGGTTGGCCTTCAAGTCATGATTAGGATTGGCATGCCTGTTTTCTAAATATGGCTTGATGTATAGCAAGCAGAGTAGTATTGAAAGGGATGGAAGATAAATATCTTTTTACATAAAGGCTCTGCAGCCACTTTATACAGGTTTGCCTTCAAGTCGCAAAAAGAATTTGGTACACCTATGCTTCAAGTAGGGCAGAAGTATTCTATGGATGGAGTTTATATCAATTTTCTTAATAGCATCAAAACCTAACCTTGTACAATAGATTTACATTGTTCGAGAGATAAGCAAGGAATTTTTATTGTTGTCACCAGCTTGTTTTCGGGGGATAACTAGAATCCCTGGTTATTATATATTACTTTACTAAGTTCCCCAATTACCAGTATAACATCTGCAACTAACCTAGCCTATTACTAGTTACATTGGCATTGGCTACCATTTCATTCTGAATACTGTGAGACACAACTCCTTGGGTACTTTCAGGTAATAATAGTTGTACAGAGATTTTTTGGGCATATCTAGTCTAACTGCTAATCAGTAAATAATGTCGAGTTGATAATAATGACTATATCGATTTTTTGGAGAGGATAAACCATCTGTCCTTTTTTTAAAAGACCATGGAAGAAAAAAAATTTTCTAAAGCCTATGTCTTGAGAAAGATTACTACTTTTTAATATAATTCTTGAGAGAAGAGAATCGATTAACCAAAGGGTTGATGTTATGGAGACAGAATTTTCAAGAGAGAGAGAGGTCTAGAAAGAAAAACCTTCAGAAAAAAAGGAAAATCTAGCTTTGGCAGAAAAAAAAAGGGAAAAGAGGAAGGAGAGGATGTAAAGTATAAAAAAAGTGTATAGAAGAGAGAGGAAGGGAAATAAAGAAATATGAGAAGGGAAATAAAGAAATATGGAAAGGGAAAAATAAGGAAAATATAAAGAGGAAGACAAAGAAAAAGTAAACAACTCAAAAATTTCCTAAAAAAAATTTTTTAAGCATAGAAAGGGGAGTAGAAAAGAGTTTTTTTTTGTGTATTGCAAAACTTTTTGAAATTTTTTATTTATTTGTTATTAAAAAACCATTGCATAAAAATTTAATAAATAATATATCAATGTTTTTTAAAATTTTTTAAAATTAAATTTTTTAAGTATTAAAAATTGATTACAAATAAAAATTTCATTAAAATTATTAAAATTTTATAAATTTTAATCCAATAACTTTAATTTAATCTATAGATTTTTTACTTTTTTTAAAAAAATTTTATGTAATTTTTTAATTTGTAAATTTTAAAATTTTAAAATAATTTTTTTTATAATATTAAAAATAAAATATAAAATTTTATAACTTTGTAAATTTAAATAAAATAAATCTAAAAATTGGCTAATAATAACAATAATATTATATTTTTTTATGAAACTTTTTTTTTATTTTTTAATTTATTATTAATTAAAATTTTAAAAAATTTAAAAAAAATTCCAAAAAGTTTTGCTACACTGTAACTTCTTCAGAATGATGGGAAAGGTTCGGACAGTCGCTTGTGGAAAAAAACAAAGCATACGTGCAAACTACATATTGAATCCCTAAAAAATCATATTGAACTTGTAATATCCCTAATGTGTTCTTACACCATCAGAACGATAAACTTTTTATTGCGGATGAAACAACTAAGAAGGTTGCGGGTGATGTCCATTTAGTTGGTTACAAGTACGTTTCTAAACTGAGAAAATTAGAAAAATTGAAGGTGTACAACAATTCACGTGTATGCATTATATCCTCATATTCTGACTTTTTCTCTGCATTCATTCCATCTGAAAGTTACTATTGTTTTTATCTTGTACATGTTACTTTATATTAAATATTATCACATCTGAGCTTTGATCCAGAGTGGAAACCGTCACAATTTGATTCTGGTGTTCTTTTATACATATTTAATTTGAATTAGAATAATACAAATGCATATATGTTTTTTGAATAAATTTGATAATGTATATATTGTTCATTTTCCAAAATGTTTTTATAGCCTTCTAGACGCCATTTCATCAAGTTGACTCTGTGACGGATATGCATCGGTTTTTTCATATAGATTTCTTGACTTTTTCCACTTCCATAATACTACGCCAAATGCTACCGAGAGAAAGAAAAGAAGCAAAGATAGTACAATAATTATTATCTTCAAATATAATCCATCAGAATTTGATGTCGTTGTTGATGGGCTAACATTTCCACTCGGCGTACTATTGGCGTTGTTAAGATCCAAGTTATTGACCTTGGGAAAAGTAAGGTCATTGCTGATCAGGCTATTCCTCTTATTAACATTAAAATCCGTTCCCCATGTTTGACTCGACATATTATAGACTACCCAGGTACTTAAAATGGGTTGACCACAATATTGAGCAGTACCGCCATAAATCTAGAATCATAAACAAAGGTTAAAAACAGGAAAAAAATATAATAAAATATTTTTGTAAAAAATTTCTCTTACAAATATAGAATCCGACCATGGAAATTGTACGCCAGATGCACGGTTTCGAATTGTTGTAATGTTGGGCATGAACGGAGCCGAAGTCACTTGGCCAAATTGAAAATTTGTCAAATCGAAATTTACTACATTCATTTGATTTGTTGTTGATTTACCAGGATCCATGGCAATGATGCTCAACTTGTCGTTCCACACACCAACAACTCCATGTGCTAATGTAAATGAATTTGGCAATTGATATTGGGGAATCAAAAATCCATGTTGTGAAGAATAAATATAAGCCGTATTAACGGGAGAGAAATCTGCCTCATTGGCAAATCCACCAAATATAAATGCATTTCCTTTAACAACAGCAACACCAGCACGTTTTGTTGGAACAATAGTATTCTAGAAATAATAAATGGAATTTAATATCAGTGATATTAAAATCCAGAAATATCGACATAATATCTAATATTACCTTTGTTGATACTATGGTCCACTGCCAAGGATCAAAATTCAAGTTGAGTAGATATGATCCTTGTGTCGTAGTGTTGGCACCCCATATAAACATTACTCCAGGTTCTAACCATTCTACACGTGGTCCCCAACTATCATTTTTGAGATCATCTGGGACAAAAGGTGGTAAATTTTGAGGTTCATTCCAATTTTGAGTATTAAAATTATAAACTTGGAAGCCCGGATGACTATTATTGAGAAAGTCTTTGCCCCCAAGTACAAATAATAGACCGCGTGTTTCGTCAACGATACATCCCGGATCTGTCACACTTTTCACATTTTGTGTTGAAAGCGGTTTCCATGAAATTTCTTGTTCTTGATAAAAGGGTGGTGTTGCATAATGAAAAAAATTGCTTGTGGCAAATTGATTACACCCAATTGTCCCCCCAAAGATGTAAATTGAATCCTTATATGTTGCTAAACAATGTGAAGCGATTGCCAAATTTTGACCGGATGATATATTTATTAATCCCGAAAAGATTATAAAAAAAAGTTGGGTACCAAAAAACATTCTTTTTATATATTTCATGCTCAAAAAATTTTTTTAAAAAGATTGGGTATAGTAATCTTTGATTCAAGTTAATATAACGAAAATAATTGCATAGAATGTGTTCTTTTCGGTGATTTTTTTAAATTACTTTCAAATTGGCAGGTCTAATGAAAATTACTGCGACCAATGTTGTGTAATATAATAAATGTTTCGAAATTAAATGACGGTTTCACAAAACGTTGTTTACTAACTATATTAATTTGTCTGATCATCGGTAAAAACCTTGTTTCATTATACAGAATCTCTCTCTAAATGCACCCCTTCGGACCATATGAAAATTTTTAAAAAATGTGCATTTAGAGAGGCAATTTTATTAAGTGTTATATGTACTTGGGACCAAGCTTGACTGTCATTTAGAGGAAAAACATAATGCGTGCATTTAAAGAGGGTGCATTTAGAGAAGGTTTACTGTACTTGGGACCAAGCTTGACCGTGTATTTAGAGAGAAAAAACATAATACATGCATTTAAAAAGGGTGCATTTAGAGAAGGTTTACTGTATTTCGTGGAAAATCAATTCTGAAAAATGCAATTAGGGTAATCCGATGAGTAGGCACAGTAACGTGACACGCCATCGCGTCACGTAATTAGTGTGTTATGAGATCGACGGTAGGAAAAGTTAGAGGTGGATAAATTAAGGTGTGGGAAAGTTTATTGGTGGAAATTTCTAAAGTAGTGTAGAATAGCGATCAGACGTAAACATGTAAATATCAAGCGCATGTATAAATACATGCGCCATTCAGTAGCATGTAGACGATGGAGATTGAAGCTTAGTTTAGAGTTAGTAACACATTAAGTAATAAACAATAAAGTAACGTTTAACGGATAAACTCTTACCTTGTGTTTAGTGTGCCAAAGAAGACTTATAACTTGGGCTACGCAATTACAAGAGAGAACCGAGGTTTGCCTAAGGGAATTGGTGTTATAAGGGTTCTAGGCTAGTCATTAGAGAAGTTAAAGTGAGAGAATGGCCAAATCGGAAACACACCTCAAGAGTTAGAAACTTACCTTATTGTGAACCAAAGTGATGACCAGTAGGGTGGGCTTGCCGGAGAGCCCACGACACCATAAAGACCACTAGTGTTCCGAATGAGTCGGGTCGGATCATTTGCTTACGTAATAATTTCGGGTTGGGTTTAAGTCGGGTCGGGTTAAAATCGGGTTTGACTCATTTTGACTCATTTGACCCGTTTGACCCGTTTAATATTTTCAGTCTGAATTTAAAAAATAAAAAACATTCGATCAATTTTTGATTTTTAATAATTTTATTTAACGATTCTTATAACTTTATTAAAAATAATTTTTATTATGAAAAAAAAAAGCAAAAATTTTTAAAATGATTTGTTTTTACTTTGCTTACTTTTGTGTGCTGACCTATTGGTGATTTTTAGATTTATGCAATAATGATGTTTTCAAGGCCGGTAACACTTTTCATCTATATTCAATTTATGGGAATAGCCGTTAAATTCGAAGCCAAACTTTATATTTTAAATAATTATTAAC